CCACCTTCTTACAGGAAAGGTGACCTTCACAACAGACCACCCAATAGCATGGATGCCAGTGATCACATTGAACAGGACAGACTCTAACAAAGTGGCATTCCATTCCTCCCACAGCGATTTAACCAAACCTGGACATTCCCAAAAGGCCAAAGTTCACTCTGACATATTCTTCTCACTGAACTGCCAATATTGTGTGATCCGAGGGTAGGCCTCCTGTGTCAGCAATCCCCAAACTTTTTGGCACAGGGATCGGCTTTGTGGAAGACAATTCTTCCACAAAGAGGGGTGGTTTGGGATGAAACTGCTCCACCTCAGATCGTCAGGCATGAGTTAGATTCCCATAAGGAACATGCAACCTAGATCCCTTGCATGTGCAGTTCACAATGGGTTTGCACTCCTATGAGAATCTAATGCCGCCGCTGATCTGACAGGAGGTGGAACTCGGGCGGTCATTCTCACTCACCCGTGGCTCACCGCCTGCTGTGCGGCCCAGTTCCTAACAGGCCATGGACCTGTACTGGTCCACAGCCCACGGGTTGGGCACCTCTGTCCTAAGTGACTTACATTAATTGCGGCATCAATCTGGACGTAGTCTATATCTGAATCCTTCATCCCCAGTTCTTTGCCCTTTCGCTGTTTGGTGCTGACAATTCCTGCAGTAGCTGTGTTCTGCAGAGAAACTGGGCTGCCCAGAGCCACCACAAACTCTCCGGCCCGAAGGTCAGATGATCTTCCCAGCATCAGTACAGGAAGGTCAGCCTGCACGTGCCCAGAGAGGCATGAGGAGGACAGAAAGGGTAAAGAACAAATCAAGATCAGAAGTGACCAATGTGTGTGTCTAACACATATATGATGCTGTCTCCATCACCTCGGCCCTTACCACCTGAGAAGCACCCACTCACACAGCTTCTATGACTGCCTTCTACTTCTTCCTCAAAGTCCAACTACCGTGAAGCTCTCAACTGTTAAGATGACTAGGACCATTTCTAAGATCTAAAACAATTACTTTATAGAAATTACTATTAGTAAACAGCCAGTGAAGTCACTGATGAACATAAACTGACATTAGCAATTTACACAGCACCATTCCAGCTCGAAGCTTAACAGTCAAAGTGAATAAGCCACAAACAGAAAGAAGATCACCCAGGGTGACACTTCTCACACTGTAATGTGCGTGCAAATCACCTCGGGATGTTATGTTAATGCGGATTCTGAGTCAGCACATCTGTCTGGGTAAAGGCTGAGACTGAATTTCTAAAAAGCTCTCAAACACCATGTCAATATATCTGATGTGCACACCACGAGTACTATGTGTAGTAAGGACTTCAAAGTATTCCTTAGCAACTTTGAGTCCATTGCAGTAATTTCTGATATCCTAAGACAAATAGAGGAATAATTTTCCCTGAAGCAGCGTTTGTTGAAGAAGGAGTTGAAG